CGTGCGTGCGTGCGTGCGTGCGTGCGTGCGTGCGTGCGTGCGTGCATGCGTGCGCGTGTGTGTGTGTGAGTGACAAGGAGAGATGAGACAAGTGGAGTCAGCCTCAGGGTGGGGGGATGTCAGCTCTGAGTGTCTTTGTTCAGAGAACTGACATCTGATTGTTCTGTATTAGCATGTGTTACAACACAGAGTCCCGCACAGGTCAGACATCACTCATCATAAACTGTGTTTCTGTCTTTTTCAGGCCAATATTGGTCAGATGGACACAGCCAAGGACATGTGGAAAATGATCATGGGGAACTTGGCTCTCATCCAGGTAAAGGGAATCATATATTGAACATGTTTTTCATGTGTATTCACTGRAGGAGGGTGGCTGGTTGCCCAACATACATCAGCTTTCTTCTCAGGACATTATTTTTGACGTTTCAACTGTAGAAGAAGAAAACCAAATAAACAGTGCTGACAGTGGTTCATTAAGGCTCAGTTATAGTTGYGCTTTGGGTAGTCACAGAGTGCGCATGCACCCTCGCCAGCAGCAATGTTTATACTTGGTCGCTTACGTTGTTGTAGGTTTCTCCAAAAGGACACGCGGAAGTGCGCTTTATAACTTGTGAAATGTTGTAAATAGGAGAGCAAAAGCATGACAAACAAACAAGCTGTTTGAGTGGTGTGCAGCGCGGGCAGACTTTGTGGAGTTTCAAAATTTCGGAGGTGCACGAATACGTGTGGGGCCAATGCGCGGGGACAGCGTGATTGCGTCACTTTTGGCGCGTAACCCCCTTGCACTAGGTGCGACATGTCAACCATAAACCAGGCTTTAGGGTCACCATGGTATGGATCCTGCAAAGAGACATGTTTTGTTTTTCTTTTGCGTTCCCAGGCAATACTTTTTTGTTACCTCGCAAACATTGGCATTCCCTCGCAATAATGTTTTGCAATCACACACAAAAGGTAGTTTTTTGTATGAACTGAATTAAATCAGACTTTTATAATGAAAAATCCAGTTACCAAAAGTTTGGGAAACTGACGGTGATATTTCATGGCTGCTCAGAGTTAAAATATCCACATAGCAAATATTTTCATGTATGTGTCCGTGATACATCCAATACAAAGCTCATTTAAAGTAGTAGCTAGCCCCCGTATTATGGTGAGCATGTGAATTTGTTAATAAATCAGCAGGCACAACGGTAATAAATGTCTTTTACGAGGGAACGCAAAAGAAAAAAATCCCCCATGTCCCCTCGCAGGCTTCCTACCATGGTAACCACACACCTGTGGAACACAGAGCAGAGATTAAGATCCAAACTACAGTTCACCTGGAAAGTCTTCACAGCACTTCACTTTTTCCACAGTCTGTTACAGCCTTATTCCAAAATGGGATCAGTTATCATTTTTCCTCCAAAGTATGCATACAACACCACATAATGACAACATGAAAAACATTTTTGTAAGGTTTGCAAATTTATTAAAAATAATAAACAAAGAAATCACATATACACACTGTAAGTGTTCACAGCTTTAGCCCAATAGTAATAACAGTAATAACAAACTTTGTTTATATAGCAAGATAAAAACAAATAAAAACAGGTCACAATAAATCGGTGCAAGTCGAAAACACAACCACAATAAAAGTCAGAGATGGTACTCGACTCATAGGGATTCCAGGCTGTTGTTWAAGCAACAGAAAAGAACCGGTCCCACCATTTCTTGCACTATATATTATTGGCTTGCACAATATTTTGTTGATGCACCTTTGGCAGCAATTACAGCCTCAAGTCATTGGTGGTGGATGGATAAAGAAGCTCCAACCATTCTTCTCTGCAGCTCCTCTAAAGCTCCATTTGGTAAAACATGCCCACAGTATGGTGTTGCCACCACCACGYTATGCTGTAGGGTTAGTATTGGCCTGGTGATGACGCCTGTCTTATCAGACCAGAGAATTTTGTCTCTCCAGGTCTTAGGGACCTTTTTACTAAAGAGTAGCTTCTGTCTGGCCACTCTGCCGCACAGACTTGATTGGTGGATTGCTGCAGAGATGGTTGACCTGCTAGAAGGATCTCCTCCCTCCACATATGAATACTGGAACACTGACTGTGACCATCTGGTTCTTGGTCACCTCCCTGACTTAARGGCCCGCCATGCTCCAGTCGAAGCCGAGCAGTCAATGCGCAGTCACATGGTCAATCTRTATTTGTTTTCTCACACACCTTTCAGGGTCCACGACTTACAGTACTGAACTCCCCAGTGGTTCCCAACCTTTTTAAACTTGTGTACCCTCTGAGCCATTTTGTCTTACCTCTAGAACCCCCTGTCAAACGTAATGATGATTCTCCAAAACTATAATGTACAGCAGCTGATTATTAAAGGAAAATTATTTATTTTACCCTCTAGAATGTTTAATTCTCAGGCCTTTCATTCTATTCTATTCAAATTAAACATAAAGATAAATATGTTGCCTTGAAAGTGAATAAGTAATTAAATAAAAAAGCGGGTAATGGCAGCTGTAGGCAGCAGCAGCATCCAAAATACATCAAATACCCCAAATGAGCAAATTCCATGAAATTCTGCGTTTTATACAGGATTCAATTTTGTGTCAATTTTATGATTCCGTTTGAATTTTCCACATTGCAGAAGTCATAGGGCCCTACATATTTCAGTCCTATTTTTATTTATGGTTTTACACACCTGAGAAATTTTTCCACATACCCCTGTAATATGCTTGCGTACCCCAAGGGGTGCACATACCCCTGGTTGGGAATCAATGTGGTAAACCCCTCCCCATGCTGCATATGCCACAGCATGGGGTTCCTCCTGTTGGAGACCACCCTCAGTTCCTACATCTACTGTTTGGCCACAAATCTGTCATGTAAAGAGCAGTGGTGGACAGTAACAAAGTACTTTTACTTTATTACTGTAATTAAGTACATTTTTTGAGTATCTTTACTTTACTTGAGTAGTTATTTATTTGGGAACTTTTTACTTTTACTCCACTACATTTCAAAGACAAATATTGTACTTTTTACTTCACTACATTTCTAGGAAGCTTGTCGTTACTCGTTCCTTTTAGATCAGCATAGCTTTATAATCCGCTGTAAAAAAAAAAAAAAAAAAAAYCCGTTGTTCCGGTTTTTCTTTTCATGAAATGCAATTGGCCACAAGCTATGTTCGTCACAAAGGTAACCAATCACATGCGTAGCTTATAGTTCTGACTGTCACTGAGTGTGTATACGTGTCTGTGTGTATATACTGACAATATTTATGAATGTAGGCATGTATGTATGTATATCTTTATACAGTAYATGTATGGGTATGTGTATATTTTTATATATGCCCTCCATGTATTTATCCATTTATTTTTCAGGTGAGCRGACAGATGTTGGGTGTGTGGTCCTGTGTTTTGTTGGTGTATATTTAATATACTTCTAATGGCTATTTCAGTCTTTCTATCTTTCTAATTACTTCTCTCTCTGTTTTTCTCTCTGTCTCTATTTTCTCTTCACTTAAAAAAAGGTCACTGATGATGAATAAATAAACTAAATAAACTAATATTTAGTTTAGTTTTCTACTGAAGTGACAAGAAAAAGAAAAGAAAAAAATGTAATTTGTACTTTTACTTTGTACTTAAGTACTTTAAAATGCATGTACTTCTGAATACTTAAGTATTTTCAAAAGTAAGTACTTCAGTACTTTTACTTGAGTAGATTTTTGACTGAGTAACTTTTACTTGTAGTGGAGTAGATTTGACAATGAGTATCAATACTTTTACTCAAGTACTAGAGTTGAGTACTTTGTCCACCACTGGTAAAGAGTGCACATTAAAAACAATCTCCTCTGTGCTCTCTCCATCTGCGAGTTTTTGGCCATTTGTCTTTTTTATAAGAATCAGAGGGGGTTTGTGCTAAGAAGGAGCAGGTAACAAAGCTGAGAACAAAGTGACGTGATTTTTGTCACACAGCTGCAAAAATGAGAGCAAATTTCACAAGTTCAGATGGACCATGCAGAGACCTGAAGGACCAACAAAAGAGTCCTTTGAACTTCATCCATTTATGATGATCGAAGCCACTGAGTTCATTGGGACCTTCAAAGCAATGGCTTCATGCTTGGTTTGTTCTTGACTGTTAACTGTGTGAGCTGAGACAGGTGTGTGCCTTTCCAAATCATGTCCAATCAGCTGAATTTACCAAATGTAGACTCTAAGCTGTAGAAACATCTCAAGGAGAAATAAGCCTAACAAAGACTATGAATACTTATGTCCATGTGGTGACTTTGTTTTTCATTTTTAATATACTGTATTTGCAAACATTTCAAATAACCTTTTTAATGTCATTATGAGATCTGTGTAGAATTTTGAGGAAAAAATGAAATTATTACATTTTGAAATACATTTGCAACATAAAACATGTAGAAACAGTACTGTGAATCCTTTCCAGTTGAACTAAAGATCTGTAAAGATACGAGTTTGGAAAGTTCAGACAGCTCATGTGACATCTTCATGCCCTCAGCTAAATATTATGTGGCGTGATCTTCCTGTGATTGTTTAAAACCTTTCAAATAAAATGCCATCTCAGTCATGTATGTTGTGAAGCTATCCAGCTCTAATGTGTTTTTATCTAAACCCCTGTGTTGTGTTTGTGTACCAAGAGTCACAGACATAGCACACTATCTACATGAAATGATTTATTTTTACAAGAAGCTTTCTAAAGCTGGATGTACCCGCAACGAGAATAAAAACAGAACAAGCAGACACTGATTAGTCTTTATAAATTTAGACATTTTATATCTTTATTTGATTTTTTTTCAAAATCTGCTTTTAATTTTTGTGACACACTGATTATTGTGCCACGTGATGGTAAGTTGTGGTTATGTAATATCTAAAGAGTTGTTTGAACTTCCTGTAACTCACATCCTATTTTAGGCCAGTGTAAACTCACGAGTACAAACAGGTGATCCAGTTCATTTAGAAGGGTTGATTTTTTTTTTTATTCTGCAACTTATGAAGCTTGTGTGTTTTAGGACAGAACAGTTTAGTTTATAATGGTCTGGCATTGTGACTGAGTCCAGTTTCTCTGGGTAATATGATAGTTTCATGACAGTTCGCTAAAATTGATACCTACGTAGACTGTTCTAATGTGTGTGTTTGTGTTTGTGTGTGTGTGTGTGTGTGTGTGTGTGTGTGTGTGTGTGTGTG